TTTTATTTGAGAAAGTTTCTTCACGAAACTCATCACAGATATTTTTCTAAAGCATCGCTGCAATCTCCGAAAAAATTGTTCAGATCGGACATATTTAGCTTATAGCCACCATACAAACTTACCGATCAAACTGAAGTCCTTGTATGAAAAACTTTTCTATTTGACAACGTTTCTTCACGAAACTCAAAACAGATATTTTTTCAAAGCAGCGCTGCAATCTCCGAAAAAATTGTTTAGATCAAACATCTGTAGTTTATAGCTGCCATACAATCTTGTGAATCAAACTCAAATTCTTTTATGGCAAACTTTTTTATTTGAGAAAGTTTCTTCACGAAACTCACCACAGATATTTTTCTAAAGCATCGCTGCAATCTCCGAAAAAATTGTACAGATCGGACATATTTAGCTTATAGCCACCATACAAACTTACCGATCAAACTATGAAACTATATGAAAAACTTTTCTATTTGACAACGTTTCTTCACGAAACTCAAAACAGATATTTTTAAAAAGCAGCGCTGCAATCTGAAAAAAAATTATTCAGATCGGACAGCTTTGGTATAATTTTTTCCTCACATTTTACCATTCCAAAGGCAAGACACTTCTCACCACACAATTTGCTGCTTTAATGGAACTTTTTCCCTTCTGGCGCGCTCTATCTTCAACTCTCATTATTCACACTGCCTATATGTATGCTGTTTGTATGTGTCTGAATAACGGCAGTTTCTATAATTTTGCTGGCAAAGCAATAAAACTTGATGGATGACCAGCAGAATGCACCACACGACACCAGCATCACCTCGATTGCCCAATAACAGGACGACGAACATTACATATTAGCTTTGACACCAGCAGTTGCATTTTGCCGCATCCATTCACCAACCGATTGAAGTGTGAACCGTGAAGGCGCGCTTCAGACGACCAGCATGCATAGCACCAAACATCAGTACAACGAATGCGAATTCTACCCTAGTCATTACTGGAGAGCGGTGCAACGCATAATTGCTATCTTTGGGTGGGCACTGTCGTTATTCATCTTGCTTCGAGCTAAATTGGCAAGCCCATTGCAATTGCCGCACTCCAAAGTTTATCCAAATATCGTATATCACTATGAGGCAAATATACATAACTTCGAAATTGAATTTAAGATATGGCTTCTGTTATTAGCAATGCATTGCGTACAGGCGATAGCTATTCTAATGCTACGGGTGGTTTTAGATCGGCGTACGCGACTCTAAATCGGTCAATACAGACCGGTTCTTTAGCGTAGACTGTTATAACCGAGTTTACACAACCGTTCTTCCTTTCTGCTGTTTGACCAATTTGAAATTCAAAGTGCTGCCAGGTCCTTCTCCACCTGGTCTTACCAACGGAATGGAGGTTTTCCATCGAATGCTTTCAAAGCTGGAGCGTTTTCATCCATTCGGACAACATGACCTTCCCAATGTAGCCGCTATCTCTTAATTCGCTGAACTATGCTAATCGTATGCAATATTCGCCCTTTCCAATGCACTAAGGATCATAAATCATCCACTGAACCTTTCTCGTAACGACGACTTATCAGACGTTGTCATCGTCCATGCCTCTATACCATATAGCAGTGCTGGAGCAATGAGTGACTTATAGAGCTAGGTTTTCGTTCGTCGAGAGAGGACTTTACTTCCCTATTGCCTACTCAATCCGAAGTAGCACCTGTTGGCAAGAGTTATACCGCGTGGGATTTCGTGGCTGACGTTGTTGTTGGTTTTAATACTAGTTCCAAGATACACAAAATTATAAACAACTTCGAAGTTATGACGGTCAACAGTCTCGTGGGAGCCGAGTCGCGAGTGCGACGACTGTTTGTTTGAAATATCTCGGTCTTGCCCTCTTTTACTGCCAGACCCACTTCCTTCGCTTTCTTATCTAGTCTGAAAAAAGTAGAACTAACGGTGCGGGTGTTGAGGCCAATGATATCAACATCAACGGCGTACATCATCAGCGGTACACACTTATAAAAGATTGTACCCTTCCTATTTAATTCTGCATTGTATTGACCTATTTAATTCTGCAGCTCGAATTATTATCTCCAGCAGCAGATTGAGTCCTTCCCGACTATGACGAAGCTTTTGCTGTTGCCCAACTTCAGTTTCCACAGCCGTATTAGTTTTGCGGGGTACCAAATTCAGAAATTGCGGCATATAGGCAACTGCTTTTCGTGCTGTAGAAAGCAGCTTTGAAATCGACGAAGATGTGGTGTGTGTCGATCTTCTTTTCGCGGATATTTTGGCGTATGGTGATAAGATCCAATAAGTTTTTTGATGGATCCGCTCCATCGTCATCGATTGGAGAATCGGATTCACCATCTCCTGGTGTACTGCTTTCACTGCTATTCAGCAGGCTTGAGAAGTGTTTCTTCCATCATTTTAGTATATAGTGTAGACGCTGAATATTCAAGATCAGCAACCCCTTTAGTCTTACAATTTCCACAGATTGTTCTGCACTTTCATGAATCATTTTTGAGCCTAAATTATTACTATTAAAGATGAACAAAAGTCTTCCCGAAAGTTTCACTGAAATTCAATCTCATAATTACACATAGGCAGACAATTTTAATTGCAATTTTTTATGACAAAAAACAAAATGCTTACTGAGGTCAAACTCTTTAATAAATTTTGACAACTACTATTATTATGCATGCGTATATTTTCAGTTTATAAATTACAATAATATATGTAAGTTATAAATGTTTTTGCTTGAGGTTCAATTGAAACCAGAAGGGCACTAAACAACCGCAAACTAATTTAGATTAGTTAAATTGCACCGAAAAGTGTATTGTGGCTTATCCACATTCCACTACACAAATGGCACGCATAAAGTCATAAACATTTAGTGTTCAAGAAGAAGTATAATTTAATGTCATAGCTAATAATTTAGCTTTATTATAAAGATAACACTTTACCACTATATTGCGATTATGTTTTAAAAATGATTTGGGGCAAGCCTCGAATAACTTTCAGCCAAGAAGCTCAATTTTCGATCACTTCTTTCAGAAATTGTCAGAACATATATCAGAAATGACGCGCAGATTATTCTTCGCCAATCATCTCGAGTTCAGCTGCGTATCTTTACATAACACGAGCAAAAGCTACAAGGTCTGACCGAGAACTTAAATTTAGTACCACGGGGAGCAGCTAGCCCTTGGAGCTCGCTCCAATATATTCATTGGGCTTGGCTCTTTGCAGAGATTCATGGTGGCTGTGGTTTAAACCTAAATGCAGGTAGAATTGATCTTCAGTTCAGTGTGGAGTCGCACTGTGGCTGGGTACCGGACCCACATCATCAAAGGTTTTGGGTAGGCCTCGAATCCGACCAAGATGGAAAAGGTGTTTCTTCCACCTGACCAATCGTAACGAAATTGTAATTGCAGAAAGCATGTATTATTTCGGGCCCTGATCTAAGCGATGTTTTGATGAATATGCATTTAAGCACCGTGTAATAAGACCGTCGTCGGCAGGCACTTACGTAACTCATAACGACTGTTGTTCGTTGGTTGTGTGATATGTAGCGCCGTTTTTTTAGAACCAGAGGTGGTTCACATCAACATCCTCCGATTTACATACGAAAAACATATATTACATATATTATAAGAAAAGTGAAATAAATTTGAATTTGAATTTGAATTATGCTTAGCTTTATAGCATTTCCAGTTTGAAATGTGGAGCAATGATCCCCTCTGCCCAGAGAAGCCACCAAACAGTGGCTTTTTGAGGATGTAATGGCGATTCGTGAGCGTTGGGTTCCAATACTTACACGACTTGGATTTTGCGAGCCGGCAAATCAAGATACTTCCTCAAAATATTCTATAAAGTGGACTGACGCAGCTCCAGTTATTGCGTGCGATGGCGGATGGACTTATTCGATACTCTGCTCCACAGCAGCAATAGCGTCTTCAGTGCATACTGTACGGCGACGCTAAGAATACCCTTTACCTGCTGGAATAAACTTTGTGGAAAACATATGTTTTCCCGAAAATGTTACAATGTTTTCCCGAATTACCGACTTTTTTGGGTGATATGAACCGAATATTAACGCAGCTCAGGATGCGTCTCGCGCACCAAGTCTGTTCATTATGAAATTTCAAACAAAACTGTTTATAAATCAGGCAATAGCTGACAAAACGGCCAACAACGAAAAAAGTGTTACCACACGTCTAAAAAACCCGTTAGCAGAGTCCATTTTCGAATGAGGAAAGGTAGGAAAAAAATAATTGAGTTATTTTTTAGCACAGACTTTCCTGAAGGGTTTTTGCAGCAAGTTTCTACTTTTAGCCATAAAACCGCAATTTATTTCAGCTTCGTATTAAACATGATTGTTGCGTGTCTATTTCGGATGATCTAAAACTATAAAGAGACAATTCGCAATTAATCGATAAAGGTGGAGTCATTTTTTTTACTGAACCACACTAACAAACCTACACAGAGCCACACGAATGAGAACGCCAATTAAAGTATCAAGACACAAGTGGTCACCCACTACACCCAACTACCGTCAATATTGAACTAGACTTGAATTTAAATTTTTCCCTTAGTGCACTTGGCTTATACATTTATTTCCTTCGCTTTTGCATCTAATTGTTGATATTAATGTACCCCAATACGCATCCTCCACTACAAACCCACATATGGCAGTTACAATAAACATTTATTCACATTTTAAACTGAAACTGTAACTAATATTGTACATCGTAGTTTCCAAAAGTAATTGCGCTAATAATCTGGAGTCACACTGTAGCTTGTCCTTGTAGCCAAACTTAGGCACCGTTAACTAATTTCCCTACACCACTGTCTTAATTGGACTACGGACAAGAACTTTCTTGCATCGTCATAAAAATTCTTCTACTTCCGCTGTCCAATCCTAAACTTTCCCAGTTTGTGTGATAATCTCTGTCAGCAAATTGGACACAATTTCTCTAGTTATTTTGGGCTTTCAATAGAAGACTAACTCTGCTGTTTTTACAGGACTACGTGACGGTTTACGATGGCTACACCACACGTGACCCGGTTGTGTTGAAGTTTTGCGGCGGCGGGCAAGCAGTGCCGGCAGCCGTGTCCAGCGGACCAGAGTTATTGGTGGAATTTACAACTTCGCCTTTTGGTACATTCACAGGCACATCTTCACAAGTGCTGCCGCTCTATGGCTTTCAATTAGACGTATGGATATTATGCGCAGATTAGTCAATTGAATAACTTATACAACAAAATATTTGCAGGTTGAAGTGATTTTCGTTGATGTAATGAGTCCCACGTACTCGAAGAACAAAAAACCGTGTGAGTTTTGGATACGCGGTGCTGGACGTGGCATACTAGAAAGCCCAAAGCATTCACTGGCGCCGAATACCACTTGCCTATATCATTTACAAGGCATGGGTGTGTTTAAAACTTTCGATCATCTGAGTTTGTCGCGCCGCACCAGTGCACAAGGTATGAATCAACCGCTCTCCCGTTTCAAGGTGTGGATCTCGATGATGAAATTCAACTTGGATCCGGAATTCGGTCAGATGGATGAGACATCGGTAGGCGCAATTGGCGTACTGCAAACGCATGAAGATTGTAGTGGCATGCTGCGCATCTGGGACGGTGCTCTAAGGGAGCCGCCGGCATGCAAAGATCTCAATTGGTAAGCGGACAAGTATTTGGATGCGTTTCAATCCAACATAAATATTATTGTTTTGTAGCGCCAGCGACGCACCTACACATCCGTTAGTCTCACATTACAGTCACAATTCGACAAATGTTATAGCGCGTTATTGCCGTGGGACGGTACCGCGCACCTGTGATCGTTCGAATATCAACGAGACTTATGCGCGGCCCTGCACGATATCCGAGAGTTATGTGTCAAGCAGCGATAGCATAACACTGGAACTCAAGAACACAGAGTCAACTGTGTTGCGGTAAGTGTCAGCTATATGGCAGCGGGGACCTCTACCGTATGCACAAGTCTAAGCCGTTTCATTTACTTTTAGACCACTGGAATTCAAATTGAAGTACGAATTCATCGATCTGCATCAGGACGGTCTGCCGCTTGCTGGCGGCGAGAACGATTGTAATCGTAAGTTCGTCAGCAGCCTTATGGATCGGAAAGACCCGGCGATCTTTCGCAGCGTGCGCAACATATTCCTCTTCGGGCGTGGCGGCACACGAAACCTGAAATGCATTTACAAGTTTGAGGGTCAACGCGGTGAGCGTATACGCATCAAATTACGTAAAGTTACCACACTAAATAGGCCATGCATGTCGCGGGTGGACGAGGACATAAATCGCTCCTTCTGCTACGGCGATACTAATGCGCGCATTGAGGTAAGTAAATCCAAGGTTAATGAAAATTGTTGAAGCAAAAGACTAACTAATACCAATTTTTCAGATTTTTGAACGTCCTTATCACGACTCGATTTTGTTGCCACGCGGTTGTCTATGCAATTCGTCGAACTCGTCACATCTACCTGTTGAATACACCTCAACCAGTCGGGATCTCGAAGTTCACTTGACTGCAATCAATATGACCACACTTGACGATCCGGACGCCATCAACTTTGAGGGCATGTTTGAATTTATCAAAGGACCAGCAAGCTGTAAAGACGGCCGACGCAAGTTCGGCCCCAGTGGCACTATCCACATGACATTCGGTGATGTGAGTGTGATTTACCTCAGACTAATAAAACTGTGTAAGATTTTCAATATTTTCATTTCATTAGATGGAATGCCGCACGCGACCTTGGTTAATAGAGCCATCCAATGGTAACAAATTTTTATATGTGCGCCTGAAATCAATATTCTTGCGTAAATACAATCCGAAGAAAGCATTGAATACAACCGTGGTGGGCACCAGTTCTTATCGTTGCGAAACGAAGGCGCGAGTTGTGCTTACAACTTCTGAAGGTAAGCCTAGAAATAGTCTTAAACGACTGGACAAGTAGAGTGGACTAGATGGTGCTAAACTTCTTTTTTCATACATGCTTACTATGGAATGTCCTTTTTTAGGTTTGACAATAACCGCCTGTCCGCTTTCGCCCGATTCAAAGGCCTACGAGTTTGTGGAAATCTTCAGCGCTGGCTGGAATGAGCGCCCCATTTACTCAATTGCGAATCGCTCAAAGGCCATTAGTGTTGAGTATCTACGCCCTGAGAATGGCGATTTTACATTTAATTGGATGGAATTGGTTCCTAGACCAGTATTAAGTATTGCAGGTAAGCATAGCACTGCTTGTATTGCGAATCAAAATTCTAATATTTCTTCAACACTTGCAGAAGACTGTCAGTACAAGTGTTCCGAGCTCGGTGCTTGCGTCAACGCGAGCGTTTGGTGCGACGGCATTGTACACTGCCCTTCCGGCGACGATGAGACTTTCCTACAATGTTCGGCCATTATGAAACTGCCCACTGAGATATTGGCCACGTTGTGTCTCATCATTGTGCTGCTGTGCTGTGCGTTTGCCGCCTTCGCATACAAGTGAGTGCCATCTGCCAGAACACCGCTGAAGAGCAAGCAGCAAAATCTCATTTAGACGTTTTGCTTTTCATTGCAGGAAAATCAAGCGCAAATTTCGTGGTTCATCCGTGCTGCAGACACGCCTCAAATCTTTGAGTTCTATGGATACTGCGGTACTGGAGGAGAAGGAGGTGATTTGCTGACAAAACGACAATTCTGTGCGATATGTTGAGATCGATCGTGTGACCACAGTCTGACCACTTTCGATTGCAACTTTAAAATTCGTGCAGAATTGTGCCCCGGAACAATTCAAAGTGTTGCCGAAACTGGCGGAAATACGAGTATTCGTTTAAGTGCGAAGCTACAAACAAACCACAAAACTAATACGAGTATGTGTGTACGACCCGATTCACCTGTTTTTATGCATTTGAATTTTATTCGAAAATTTCGTATGTAAGTTTTTACCCGTCAACTAACAGTACATATTACCATATTACACAACTCTAGCTCTCGTCTCTACGCAATGATCCAATGATCTCTGTAATGTTTTCAATACAAGAAAATGCAAAAATATACTTTTCTACTACTCATTTTAAGCCGAAAATTAAGACAAAAATCAAACCAAGCAAATTTTTTATATCAATACATGCATGTGTGTGTGTGTACAATGGGTAATCCTAGTCTAGCTGTGTAAAGATGTACTGCAAATCACATTTATGAATGTATGTTTGTAGACACACATGACTCTAAATGAAGCTTTAATCATACAAATTATGTTAATGCGATCAGCAAACTTATATACTTAATCCTTAATCTTCTTGATTTTCAAACTGAGTTAACACTTACGTGAAGCAAGCTTTTGCCTTCACTAACGTTAGGACTCCATTCCTTCTAAAGTTGAGACCACTGATTCGGTAGTAAATTTTAATGATTTCGACTCGCTGTTGAATCGTATATCTTTCCATGATAAAATGGCAAATCTTACTGAAGAACAATGTCAAAAGAGCCAGAAAAAATATCATCCTTTGCTGTCCCTATCGGTCAACTTTTGTAGTGTCCTATTGAAAACTCCTGAAGAAAGGGAGCGCTTTCTTGCGAGTTCAATGAAAACCGATAGTCGACTTTATCAAAACCAGTGATAACTTGTCTTCAGTGTGGATCAAACCGAGTTCAGTTAAGTTCAGCTAAAAGTTCTTCTCATCCACCTAATATGGAACCCATGAATTAGATAAAGCTTTTTCAAATCTTCTTCTCTTTCAAATATTAAATGATATTTCCAAGTATTCGTTGTCCTTTTGAAAAGTACCCAATAGCGCAGCGCGGTATTCAATGTAGAACTGAATCGCAGACGTCCCTCTTCCCTTATTCGGAGCCTCACGTTTTCAACCTGTTGATAAAGTAAAATACCTGGAGTTTAGCTTTGATAGGAAACTTTCATGGAGGCCAAATATTGAGGAGAAATTAAAAAAGCCTGTAGGCGAGCTATAGGGAAAAGTGGAAAAACGCACCAAAGGTTCCCGCTAACAGCAATGGCAATGAGTCAGATATCCATTTATGTAACGAGTTAGTTAAATTTTGACCCACTAAGAATTCTGATCAACCTTGATCAAAAGACTCACATACTCTTATCTCTAATACTAAGAGAGCAATCGTAGGTGTTTTTGCTAAGTATTGTGCAATAGGTATTCAAACCAGAAGACACTCATTACAAGACTGAAGCTGAAATATGTCGGCAGTCATACCTTTGGATAGCAGGAGACATAGCCGAAACTTGCATTGACCGCCTCAATAAATTTGTGATTTGCTTAGTGCGCTTCGTCGATTTATGAGAGTCGCCACGATAAATTTTTATATGAGTTTTAGGTGCCACATAACAGAGTTTTCTATAAGAATTTCAATGAAACTCTTTATTCATGTGAAAGTACATTCAATGCCATTATGTAGTGAACTCGATTTCTGGGCCAATTGACTGGGCCATTTCGTTAGATAACACGTTTACAATAAATCGATGGTGACATTCGCTGTGTGGCTTGTGGCGCCATCCTGTTGGAACCACTTATTGTCCAAATCCATATCATCCAATTAAAGCAAAAATATTCGGTTATCATTGAGCGGTAGCGATTTATATGCACAGTAACGTGCCGGTCTTGATTATCTTTGAAAAAGTACGGCTCAACGACGCCCCCGGCCAATACACCGTACCACACCGTTATTATTTCGGGATGCAATGATGACTAATGGAATACGTGTGAATTGCTGTCTGACCAATAACGCATATACCGAACTTCGGTAGTAAATTTTAATAATTTCGATTCGTTGTTGGATCGTATATCTTTCCATGATGAAATGAAATGCAAATCTCACTGAAGAGAAATGTCAAATAATTTTTATTGGCTAAGATCTTGCTGTAATCGCGAAAAAGTTATTAGGATTGAATCACTATAACATAATGCTGCCATACAAACTGATCGATCGGTATCAAGTGCTTGATTTTAGTAAAGCCTATGGAAGTTGATTTTTCATGAATCATCCTTTTAACAGTTTGGGCTATTGCCGATACCGCGTTTCTAGACCTAGACTCACCTCAGTCAACACAACTCTCTAACAGTATGTAAATTCACATGCTAAACATCCTTAATGTAACTAGTACTAATACTACTATATTAATTCCAAGCTAATATTTCAAGGCTCATCTTTCGCTGATAAATTTTCATACCTTTCTGAACCAAGTTAAGTATGTAGCTCTTCTTCTCAACATATGAAGATGTGGCGGATCCACGTCTTTTAAAACGCCCCCCAAAATTGGAGATTTTATTAAAAATCCAGAAGATTTTACGAAGTAGCAACAATATTGAATTACTCAGAATGGAAGATTAAATAAGTTTATATAATTTAGCGCAGCAAAAAAAAAGGAACTATACAAATCATAGCTACATACACATATTAATATTAAGTAGTGATAACTAACCTCCGGACTTCAAAAATGTATCGCTAACCCATTGTGAGGTCACATAAGTTTTAGGAACTCGTAAATAATCCCAGCATTTATTATGCGACGCACAACATAAACAATTAATTAGAAATGTTAGTAACCAAATCAGAGAAATAGTAATAAATATAATAAAATAAAAACTAAAAATCAAATAATACGATACGATTGCCCTGGTGCTAAAAACAAAAACAAAAACAAACTAAGAAAATATAATTAAATTGTAAGCATTACATAATATTGAAGATATGAAACCGTTATATGCGTTATGCAATTTGAAAGTGCAAAAAGCAAAGTTTTGCAAGCAAAAATAGGCAATAAATGTTTCTTCCCAAAGAGAAGAGAATTTCCAAATGAAGGCAGGCGTCAAGCAAATGAGGTTCAAATAAAGGCAGTCTCAAGTCTTCAGAGCTCGAATATTTTAATAATCTATGTATGTGTGTATGGCAGTGTGCTGCAATAGCAACAACTCTGGCTGGTTGAATTGCATTCTGTGAGAAAGAAGAAAAGCATCTAGGCCAAGTTCTTGAGAATTACTATAGTATAAACGTAGATGTGGGTGATGTGTGTGCAGCCTGTGAAAAGACTTTTAATTGTTGTTCTAGTGTTAAGAATTATGAACTAAAAACAAAAAATACTTGTATTTATATACATATTTAAAAACTATAAGTATAATTTTTTTAATATGAATCACGCATTGTAGCGCCTCTAAGTTATACAAGAAGTCACAAAATCACGTCATACTGAGTAGAAGACCATACACATAACTACATATACTGCAGAGATATGCCGAAGTCGACTAATTTTCAACCAAAAAAATCAGCAAATAAAATACCATAAATACATAACTGCCAAATTGTTTTTTGTTGTATAGAATTGTTTTAGATTTTTTTTTTTTTTAATTTTTGATAGACTGCCATGCTTATTAAAAACAAGTAAAAATATTATACTTGTTCTTAAGTTCGAATTTCAACCTTTTCCTTATTAATATACAGCAATGGATGCAAGTCCATCGACATCAAAACTCATAATTGAGTATACGACTGTGATCAAATAGAAAGGCGAATTTTTTATTTATACTTCGCATGTTTTTCGAAACGTTACATTCTTGCTGTAAGTTGGGAGTACTGTTAGTGACATCTTTGTCACATTTCACATCAAAATATTCACTAGTATTTCAGATACGCGACGGTTTGTGAGGCTCAAATAAGTGCTATAATGCACCATCTCATACTGCATTGGTTATACGTGATCGTTTCGCCACATTTTCAACTAATATCGTGCCGCAACGCCGCAGCAAATTCACATGACCACTCCAAGACCCCGTTTTGACTCAATTGAGGATATAAAAGCTGAATCGAAGAAGGCTCTGATGGCCATCACGATGGAGGAAAGATGACTGGAAAGTTCGTTGGCATAAATGTATTGCAGCCTGAGGGGATTACTTTGACAAAATTCACCTTTCAATTTGATCACAGTAATAAATGGGGTGAAAATATTTTAAGTTAAGAACTAAGTCATTTACAGGGTGGCGACGAATAACTGTTAAACAAGTTTTAATAAAATAAAAAAAAAACCGTTAATCCTTAACTTCGATTTTATTTTTTATTTATTTATTAATTTTTTTTTTTTTTTTTTTTTTGGAAGGCTTTTTCGCGTATTACTTTCCATAATTTCTGTAATTGTCTCTTAACCACATCTATCGTCAAATGTTTTACGTTCTTCGTTTTATCCCATGAAGCCCCATATATCATAATCCAATGGATTAACATTCGGGTAGAAGAGCGGCCATTCTTCTTCTTCTTGGCTCGCATAGACATCGCTTACGCGGTTATAACGGAGTTTACAACAGTTTGTCAGTCGTTTGTCAGTCGTTCTTCCTTTTCGCGATTTGGCGCCAATTGTAGATTCTAAATGTTGTCAGGTCCCTCTCCGCCTGGTCTCTCCAACGGAATGGAGGTCTTCCTCTTCCTCTGCTTCCCTCGACGGATACTGCATTGAATATATTCAGAGCTGAAGTATTTTCATCATTTCATCTACTCGGATGGCATGGCTTAGCAAGCGTAGCCGCTGTCTCTTAATTCCTTGAAGTATGTCAATGTCATTGTAAGACTCATACAGCTCATCGCAGAAGGCCATAAGTCCAAGTCGTATCGATCATCCATGCCTCTGCACCATAAAGCAGACCGGGAATAGTGAGTGACTTATAAAGTCTGGTTTTTCTTCGTCGCGAAACTACTTTACTCCCCAATTGCTTACTAAGAAGTAGTACCTGTTGGCAAAGGTTATTCTGAGTTAAATTTCGAAGCTGATATGATTGTTGGTCTTACAATTGATTCCAAGACAACTTAAATTAGCTACGACTTCGAAGTTATGTCTGTCAATAGTGATGGGGAAGCCAAGTAGCGAGTTCAACGACTGTTTGCTTGATAACAAGAAATATTTCGTCTTGCCCTCGTCAATACCAGCTCCAGCAGTAGATTGAATAAGTCGGACGATAGGGAGTCGCCTTGTCTCGTTTGATATCGAACGGCTCGGAGAGGAACTTCCAGAAAGTGCATTATCATATTCATAGCTATGTGGCGT